TAATCTATCGCTGATGAGAAACTCTTGTATTCTTGTCAACTTCAGAGTTAGGCTGTTAAATAGCCCGGATGATTTATTGGATAAACACAGGCATTTAGAAGATTTTTTTAATAGTGGTGTTTATTGGACAAGTTTTTATGGTATTATATTTACCAAATATGACAGTAATGAGTCGTAAATTAGTTTGGTTTGGTAGATTGTTTGATAAGATTTATGAAGCTAATAAAATAAATTGCTAATGTGTAGTTAATTGAAGCACGTTTGTTTTTATTTTTATCGAGATACTTATTTTTATCTACCGTTTTATACTATGCCGTAGTTAAATCTATTTTAAAAGTGAGATTGGTATTTTAATAAACTATACATATAGAGCAAGATTTTCCACAAAAGAATTAAATCTTTTAAAATTAATTAAAATGATTTTTTTTGTATTTTAATTTTTTGAATAATCTAAGAACCTAATAGTGTATCACATTTTTGACGAATAATGATAAAAAAAAATCTACTGTAGTAATCTTTATCAAACGTATAGGCCAAACAGAAGAATTATTTAACCAGTTTGTAAACAAGAATTGTTTAAAAAATACATAGTGAATAAAATAATTAATTATGATAAATAAACCCTTCTAAAAATTAATCAATATTTAAAAATGTTCTTTCTTCAAAATGTAACTTCCACACCATAATCTTTTAACAATATTTATTTACACTATTATATTATATTATTTATTGACCTGCATTTTAATGTTCAAAGTTTAGAAATATCATTACAGGTAAATAAATACCTTTACTTGTAGAAAATCATATTTACTTGCCACTAATACAATAGCCATCTTACCTACACGATTAAAATAAACTAAAATATAATTACTCAACACAACTTCGCAGTTTTAATTGGCTATCAGAGTAAACAAACTAGCAACTACCTTCGTATAATAGACTGGTCAGAAGTTAATTCTACGAAATGACTTCATTCTCACCGTCATGATGATTATGTTTTATGCATTCAGAACTGCATTAAACTTGTACAATTAACTACTTCTGTCGTTCAATCACGAATCTACGACAAACGTTACGACGGCGATTGCCAATTGTGTTGCCTTCTTGGGTAAATTGATCACGAAGTTTTATTGATTGCTATCTTGTTTGTTTACTTTCTTAATCAACACAGTTGATTGTATACATTGTTAAATGTAATGTTTTGGTTACAATGAATTAAAAACTCAACTAAATAGCTAAAACACTTTTTTTAAAGATATGGTCTTATATGATTTCAGAATGGACAATATTGATAAGTTAATAAATTTAGCACAGAATTGTTGACTTTTGAGTAGATTTTTTTAAATATACTATAATTTTTAAAATCTTGTTTCCTCTTCTTTTTCGTGTACGATTATATATTTCGAATTCGCTAACACCGACAAACTATTTTTAAGTGTTAATCACAATCAAAACTATGAATATGAAAAATACGGTTTAATTTGTAGTGTATGTGGTTACTCATCGCTTTTAGGACTAGAGAATAATCAATAGTTTTATTTTGATTTCCAAATAATAATGCCATAACCGCATGGTTCAGAGCCCACCGTAAGCAGGTTCAATCATGTACAAACAAAATATATATAATATCTCAGGAGAAAAGAAATCTCTCAACCTTACTGAGATTCATATACTAATATAAGTCATACGAGAACTCATGAAAAAAAACTCTTGCCAAAAAAAATCTACTAAAACTAACCTACGTTTCGACAAAAACTTACGTAAATAAACTTCTTAAACCAGAGAAGTATATGTATTCAATCACAAATCCTATGTTCACTTTAACACATTGCATTTAATAACGTAATAGGCACTCAAACACAAAGACACTGGAAATTTGCCAAGTAGCTCGGGTCAATGATCAAGGCTATATCAACCCATAACGCCATATCAGTTCGCCCGGGGCTGGTAACTGGACGGTAACTGGTAACGCGTTAACATATACCAGCACGAGCTAGCCTGAGGCTAAACTATCTTATATTAGCTACCAGCTGATAGTTGTACTGTCTTGTAGTCAGCTGATTTATAAGTTGTGCTCGTGTAACTGTCTTGTTTATGATTTCAGCGAGCCCAGGGACAAGTTTTGAAATAGGTTATGTTTTAATTTAGTGCTAAGTAATAGGTGGGCTGATCTAGGTGTAGCAAAAAGTGATGAAGGTAGGGTTAAAGAATTTTCAAAATGTTCTAAATTATGGATCGTGCTATATTTTGATTATATGATGGGTTGAATTAATGCTAAAGTGCCAATAGTAAACAAGTGTTCTATTAGACACTGTACAAAAACGTGATGTAGTTTGAAAAAATGCCAGGCCTATAGGTATATTTCCTCTTTTTTTGAAAATGTTCTCGTATCTTGTATCGAGTAATTTTTTTGAACAGCTTACATAAAAAAAATACTGAACTAAAACATTACATGACATACAGAATTAATTAACAATTTAACTGCAACCATAAGAAGCTTCTATAATAGACTGTGTTTGAATTATAATGACTAAAGAGTAGTTGGTGAAGATAAATATTGGATGTAAATGTTTATTGGATACGTAAGTGTTATAGCGAAGATGACGTTTTTACAATACAAGTTATTGTTAAAATAGCAACAAAATCACATTGTTGGATTTTTCACAATAGCATTCGAGATTTAAGTCCACAGTTAAAATAACTTTAAGGGTTTTACCTAATTTTTGTTTTTCAAACAAACCCTACAACACAACAATTTGTTCCTAAAATTACTCAAAAAATCTCCACCAAAATATCAAAGATTTGCTTTAAACAATAACCACTGGACCCATGTTGATGGGTAAGAGCGGGGGGATAAATATTAATTAAAAAGAACTCGTTCCGCCCCACGGAGCAAAAGGGGCGCCTTTGGAACCCGGATAAAAGTGTTAAAAGAGTTGGTATTGTAAAACAAATTGGTCTTCGCGTCCCGTCGGTGACATTTTGAGTCGAAATGCCAGGGGAAGTTCGTAGGGGTGCAACCCCTTCTGATAATTTCATCACTTAATAGCGGTGGCTAAATACCACCGCGATCTCTTGATTAACGGGCTAATAGATTGGTAGTCTCCTAGCAATCACATTAGACGATTAAAATGTGGCTTCCGTCCATCCGTGGTGGAAACATTGGAATTTAATGAAATTCGAGGGTAATCAATCTGTGTGATCGGAGTTGAGTGGGTTCAAAATTGGATGAGTTGAATGGCATTTAGTTGGAGTTGAGTTCTTGAATTTGCAATAATGAAGGTATTTCACTCCACTTTGCACTAATCGTTTACTCTTTTCTAGTTCAAAATGAAAATTTGTGTTGCCATCTCAATATAAATACTAAACGGAGAAAATGGTGTACCTGAAGGTAACACCATTGGTCCTCTTATTTTTCCAACTTTAACATAAACTTCTATGTCTTATAATTTTGTTATATTTTGTTCTTCTTCACCGTCCATTCTTCACTCATATTCAGGTTTAAATAATCAGCATTGTGTGCATATCTCAACGTAAAGACTTGGTATACCTCAAGGTAGCAGCATTGGTCCACTCTTTTTTGTTTTTTTAACATCATATAATGAATGAAAATTCTGTTAAGCCCTATTCTTGCAATACCGTACCATGTTCTTCACCAACATCATTTAACCTTTCAGACCTTCCGAAACCCCACCTTTAATTAAGGTCGCCTTATCAGGATGTCTCGATGTTTCGAAATGTTCCGAATTCAGAGACATTGATAACCAAGGCTCCTCTGATGAGGGTCGCCAGATGGCCGCTTCTTATCACAAAGGTCGTTGATAAGAAGAATCCCAATTACCTGCATCATTAGCCGGTGATTCAGTAGATCGCAAGGTCGTCTTATCAGTTAAGGTTTCGACACCCTAGCGCGTGTCCAGTCTTTGTCTGATAAGACACCTCTCAAACTTCCGACCTGATAAGATTGGGTTCTGCGTAGGCCTACCAGAGTAAAATCACGGAACTTGTTGAACGCTTCGAGTAGTTCGAAGAATACCGTTGTGGTTTGCGGTTATTCTGAATTCATGTTTGATTTTCATGGTTCAATGGTTTCTGTCGTCTGTGTGAATTGTGTTTGTGGTGTATAAAGTATGGGTACAGTAGTTTGATGTATATTTTTTGCAATGCTCTGTATGGAAAAAGTTAAACTTATTATTTGATAAAGCGATTGTAGATTGGAAAAAAGAAAGTTTAGAATACAAAAATTACAATCAGTATCCTGTTACGCTATGCTGTGATACAGATAATATTGTGACCAATGTTTGAAAAAAATACAACTAGTTCGAAGGTCAGTTTACCTTTGTAAGTGAACGTCCAGTGAACGTACGTTTGTTTACACTCTCATGTGTTTTTTTTTTCATTTTTTTCAGCCAACTAAGTAAGAACTCTTTAAACATAATGTTTTATATTAGATTATATGTTGGCCTATATTAAAAGTGTATAACTGTTTAGAACCTGTCTTGAAAAATATGAATGAATTAAGTTTGTATTGGACATAATGTTATTTGAACTCACTGAATTAGTATTAGAAGTTTTTTTTTACATTTAGGGTATAACTTAACTGTTTTGAAGTTTCTAAAAAAAGTTAATACAGCATTTGCACTCATACTGCAGGTTTTGTATAACGTATGTATAATTACAAAAAACGTTGAATACAAAATGGTCATAATGCAAATCTAACCAAAGAAATTAATAGTGTTGATTTATTTTGTGTGTAAATATAACAAAAAAGATACATAGTTATCCAAACTACAGACAAAACCAGTAAACACCACAGGTGTGAAAGTGACCCGAACATCCACGAAGACGCCCGAGTGTGTAACAGGTCCGGATAAAATTGTTATTGGATCTTTTTGAAAACCTGTCGGAGTTGTAGCGCGGTGGTGGGGGGAGGCGCGCCGCGATTGGCTGCGGCGGGTCATGTGACCGCGTAACCCCAGTAGCTGGCAGTTTGGCGCGCGCGGGCCGCTGGGACGGCAACAAACGGAATCAGAAGCGGTGCGAACGTCGACGGGAGAGGTTGTAGTGCGCGCAGTGCACTGTGGCGAGTGACATGGCTATCCCTTTCAACTTGCCCGTGGACGAACCAGAGGAGCGAAGATTGGATCAGCTGTTGCTGGACTTGTACCATGTGCTGAGGCAGATATTGTTGAGGAATACAGGTGGGTTCAGTGTGTTGTTTTTTTAGGTTTTAGAAATTTTGTGGTCAAGTGCTGTGAGATAAGGTTTAATTAGTGATTATTGTATATTTAACAAATTATATTTTTAGGAAAGGTGCGTAGTATTACTGTAATTTTTTAAATTTATAAAGTTGACAAACTATTTACGTATAACTTTATAAACATTTTTATGTATCTTAAACTCGGGAATTAAATTTGTTGTAAGAGATATCGTTGTTCTTGTCCGTTAATTGATTATGAAATCAATTGTTCCAAATTAGTTTTAAAACGTAGTTTTTACTTATCATTCCTCGAAAAGGAAACAAATACAGTGTTCAATTTCTCTTAGTATTAAACATTTATTTAGCCTAATTTTTTACATACAAAATATTAAATCTGTATTAGTTACCAAAACTTTATTTAACAGACACTTAATGTCAAACTTCAACATTTAATTACGGTAAAATTTTTTTAATTTACCTCAACTAGTGAAACTTCTCAACAAATGTCCATACCCAAAAACAATTAACAATATTACAACACTTAATCGATATACCATACCCTCAACACTAAACTTATTTCTAAAATATAATATTATTTTAATAAATTTCCCTAAAATTAATTAAAATATCTTATCCACAATTTAATATCCCAAAACAATTAACAATAACTTAAATTACGTCTTACGCAACAGGTAGTCGGTCCTTTGTACGGAATTTCATTTCCAGTATTCCCCGGTTCCGACGAGCGGCAACACAAAAACACGTATCCCACACGCATTCCTTCTGTCCACTTCACGCGACGTTGAGCGTGACGCACGTCGTGATTCACGTACGTAACATCTCAAGTCAATAAACTTTCTCTTCGTCCTTCGCCTTGGCACTGGCTGTCGATCACTTCATCTCTCTATGACGTCACTTGTTGCACCATACGATATTGGTCTTTGAAAATTTGAAATAAGAAAAATGATTTACAAAAAGTTAGGTTTAACTTGGTCTATTTAATTTTGTTTGTAAATTCTTAAACAAATTAATATTTTTTGAGCGTTGGATAGTGACAGTAACATTGATAATTTTAAAATGCCTTGATTAAAATAAAAAAATTTTATTAAATGAATTTTATATTAATTAAAAAATCATGGTTAGCGTTAAAGCAGTCATCAGTTTTTGGACTTTAGATTTTTTTTCGTTTTGTTTAGCTTTTTCCGATATTTGAAATACCAACGAGATTAGATTTGTAGGCCAAATTAAAAATATTGACTAAATATTTCATATCATACATAATATAATTTTTTAAATTTAGTATTGATCATTAATACAGTATTATTTAAGTGAGACGTTAGCCGTGGTTTATGGTAGCAGTGATAAATAATCAAATTAAGTCGTAATTAAAACTTAATTTCATAAAATACCATATATTAAATCCATATTAAGTACCTATTAAAAATTATACTTTATACTAAGATAATAATGTAATAATTATAATAATTTTATAGACTAATATTAACAAAATATTGTTGCAATTTACATTTACATCGGGGTAGCACCAATATTATAGCACGTGAATAAACATTACAGTGTGCCAATAAATAAATAAAATATGAAAATGCAATATCTCGTAAAAAAGTAAGTTGTTAAATTTTATTTACGACACACACGATTTGCAATAATGTCTGTTTCCATAAATTGAAATACAGTACAGTGAAAGGGGCTCGAGGTTGTATTGCTCATGCAATATATAGAACATGTTTCGTCATTTTGTACCATATATGCTGGCGACATGGATTTTATAATATATGTTATTTTAAATTTATCGGTCATATTTCTATACAAACAATTATTGAGAATTTTATTTCAACTTTTAGACTTTGGTTTGCGGGTTTAAAATGATTTTTGGTATATTAAAATTGTTATGGATATTTCATTTATAAAATAACTGGGTTAAGAATATAAATAGATGTAAATATAGGTGATGAGCAAATAAATATTGTGATTTTAAAATATGACTCAAATTTTGCGATAAATTAGTTCCGTTCCCTCTTTCATGGACCTGCAATGGATTTCCTTTTATGATAATACTTACGAAATTATTGTTTTAATGCTATATAGTTTTGTTTTTATCAAATGGTATCGGCCAGTTTGTTTGTCAATTTTTTTTAATTAACGTTAATTTAACTTAGGTATGTAAATAAGGTCGTAAACTTGTTTCAATTTCGTATGTGCAGTTTGTAATTATGCAAGAAAATTATGTAATTATGTAAAAAAATAAAATTACTACCCTCTTTATGCAGGTTGTAGTATTAAAATAAATTAGTCTATAGACCGCATAGGTTTTTTAAATATTTATATTTTATTTATTTTGAGCTGTAAAATTAAATATTTCTCATGCTGAATCCCTTTAAATAAAATCTCATTAAATTTAACACGACAAAATATTCTGAAATTTGATTTCTTATCAAAATAATTACCGGTACCCTCAAACATTTAAAAAAAATTCTATTTAAGTAATATCTGTGAACAATAAAATTAGATACAAAATTATCAACACAATTTCCAGTATAGTTACTATCGATGGTTACAACACCGTGATGGTCTAGTGGTAAATCGCGGAGCTTCGGTCCTTAAAGTCCCGGGTTCAAACTCCGCCAATCACCACATGATATCTGATACCCTAACTCTCTGGGTATAGTTTGAAGTATGAATAAAAAGAAGTATCAGTAACTCATCCAGTTATTTGTTAGTACAGACCCATGTGTTGTCCCGCTCGTGTCAGCTTCTTACCATCTTCACCATGTGGCCGAGCGTGTTAAGCTCTCGTGGCAGTTTTTTATCCCAAGGCCAAGTCCCATCTGTCCTCCAAATACTCAGCCTATTTACATTTTTATGGCCTTCTTGATGTAGGATGCACGCCCGGGTTCGGTTTTTTTGGTAGTTAGATTTTTTACTGAACAGAAGAAACTGGGTTCTTGACGCGTGTTTGAGTTATAAATTTAGTGGGGGCTTTATCATTTTTCGTAAATAAACATTTTGTCGGTTGGAAATCAAAATGTAAGTTTTTGGGGGCGATTTTTGTTGTGAGTGTGAATTGACAAAATGATCGGTAATTAATGAGCTGAGACGAACAATTAAAATAACACTTTTGAGACAACTAATAATACCTTCGAATTTAATTACACATCTTCTAGGCCTACACATCCAAAGAGTTTGTTTTTCGGAATTGCACAATTTTATGTTACATAAGTATAAACAGCAAATTTACTAAACTCTTGTGTCTGTAAAATATTTAATTGTGATCTTCACTCTAATAAGCTGTAAAAGTACTAAATTGGTCTCCTATTTGGGTAAAATACTGGGATAGAATGACGCGGTAAAGTCCTAACCGGATGTGGGAAGGTGACGAAATTGACCGGAAATAAAGGAAGATGACGGTGAGGTGAGGGATCTGACCTTGGAGGATCAACAACCTTGCAACCTCCGTGGAAAACCCGGGAATATCTCCCGCCAAAGCTGCCTATTGCGCGGGAAATACGGTTCCGTGATTTAATATGCTTATTATGTAATCGTGATGAAAAAATGTTGTAATATTCCAGTTTACGTGTGATCTCTGTAAAGTTTTTGTAAGAGCGATTTAGGTGTGACAAATAATTAACTTTAAACCACTTGATATTGGACATAACAGTACTTTAATGTTTTTTTATATAACGAAGGCAACATTATGCCTGAAGAAGAAGTTTTCGATTGACTATTTACTTAATATACTGTACTTGTATAGCTTTACACAATTCAATAATAATAGTATAGCCAAATCTTTTAAAAGTTAACAAAAACGCAAGTTTAGTGTTACAGTATTTAAATTGAATATGCGCCAGCAAGGTTTTTACGAGACAAAAACGACTTCAAATAAAAATGCTAGTAAAGTACATGATTAAACTACAAAAAAAAGAAACGTACAATATTATAAAATCAAACTAAATAAACTAAAAAAATACAAGTCGTCTATATTGGATAAAATGTCTTGTGATGATTACTTTGATTATATAGGCTACTATTTATAAACAACATTTTCAGTTTACTGCATGAAGAAGTTCAACTCAACTAAACATGCAAATCAGCTGAACAAAACAGTCCGACAGAATCCTATAAACAGTCGGTAGTAAACAGTGAACCGGTCCCAGAAACCGAGATAATTATAGCTTCCAACTGCTTTAAAATAGTAAACCGTTCAGGAATAAGAAAAATAAAAGCGTGGATGCGTGTAAGCGATGGAGTGGTTCGTACTTGTCCCGCCCGCGGCGCGGCGAGCGTTGACCCCGTCGCGTGGCCAGTCCGGCTATAAACAAAACATAACCTCTCCGCCACGCGTCCAGCGGCTACTGTTCCCGCCAACTGCATCAGCTGATTGCCAATTACCAACCTCGCAGTAAATAAAACCACAGCTGGGCGTACTATAAGAAATGCAGAGGATGTTTATAAAGTGGAATAGCTAGTGAGGCGATTGTTGTGTTATACCTCTTGATTGCTTGTAGAAAATTACGTGTTAGGAGCTTAATTAATTGTAATTGCTCTATCTACTACTACTACCACACTGTAGGTTATAACAAAATAGTAGAGCCTAAACAAAATATGTTTAAGTCTTTTGAATCTCTAGTGGATTGAATTTGGTCGATTGCTGCATATTCCCACACAAGCGAGAAGCGACAACCTTGCATCCTCTTTGAAAACCTCGGGAATATTTCTGGCCCAACAGACAACAGTAGGTAATACTGTGCCATGATTGACTATGATGTATTATATGGATATGTAGATTTTTTAAGTTTTCTACCGCTTAGCCACAAGTAGGCTTACAAGAAAATAGTTCTTTCAATCAATATAGGCTTTTAGTTGGATGATCACACCATTTTGATCCGAGAATGAATTTTATAACGCTAGGAACACCAAAATAATCCTAATCGAATGATTTTGATCGGTTTATCCTGAAAGATCGCGGTTTCACTCTAATAATTTTCCAAGATTCCCTCAAGGCCGAGCTCCTGCTCCAGTAATTGCAGCCTCTTGAAACGGTAGAAGCACCAAACTTCCCGAGCGGTTATAAGTTTTATCGGATTTCTCCTGATGATTGCGGATCAGATCTCGGTGTTTCCAAGATTTCCCTCATGGTCGTGCTCCAGTAATTGCAGCCTGTGCAAGAGTTAACGCGGTGTGGACAGAATGCAACTACTTCCTTGTCCGTCAAGGTCGGTGTTGGGCAAGAATCGCGTCACGGCCTCATGGTTACTTCATTGCCACGCCATCTTGTTTTCATTCTGTCACTATCTTGCTTGGATGTGGATTAACTACTGTACTACACGTCCAAGGATGTAGGATGACTGAATTGACTTTTCGAAGTTTCTTCGATTTCTAAAATCACTTCATGTAGAAATTCAAAGACATCAATGAAAAAGTGTTTAATCCGTTTCCATTGTAAAAACCCTGACAAACGTCAGCAAGTAGGGCACAAAAGACGTCGTAAATCACGAAGGATGGAAAGGGAGCCAGTGAAAGGGACGAAGCACCTGTTCTGAGGTTGGCAATTGTGACGCAAACGAACAGGTCTGGTCCCAAGATCGATCCTTGGGGCACACCTGTATCTTCTACCTGTTCGAACAGGTTGCAGCGTGCAAGGGTCCAACAGGTGTTTCGCCGTCAAAACAACCATCTGACTGCCCCGAAGCGGTTTAGCGAGCAAAAACTCTAGCGGGGTGCTCCCTTCCACCGATTCACCTTACGGTCGAAACAGATTTTTCATAATGGTCTTTCTTTTCCTATGACAGAATTGGGTATTGAAGTGTTCTCTTTGGGTTTGAAAGGGCTGGGTTTTGGTGGGTTTTAACTGTTTTCTCTATTACGTAGTGAAGAGTTATGGTATGCTCAACTACAATATATTTTCTACAAAAACGACTATTATTTTGTATATATTTAAGAGTCTCATGGGTTCAGCATAGTGCAATATCATCCATTCAGAAAGCTTTGCGTATACACAACGTTAACTCAATAATCATAACAAGGAGAAAAATTATAAAGCTCTTGATAAATGTGTCTCTTAAAAAATAATCACAGAAAGTTTTGTGCTAGGAGTTCTCTATAGTATAGATAACTCAGACACGCGCCAGCTATAGGATGTCCTGTTTCTGATAAGATAGGCCTGGCCGACATAGCTTGCCATTTATCTTGTCACCAAGTGAGTTCTATGATTAATTGCAATTTTGGTAGTAACATTTACGTCGCTAATTCTAGAGTCTAGACGATCGAGAATCTTATCACAAAGCTATTCAAGGCTGTGCCTATCCAAATATTTAGAAGAAATCCTTTTGAGTTCCACTGAGAAATTTAGGGTTGACTAAAGATCAAACACAATCCTACGCCTATCACATAAATTCTAAATCACCTGATCTAAACCCCAGTCAGGTACGAGGTACGGTTGCTAATGGTCATTTTGTTGTTGCAGACGAAGGTCGAGAGGGGGAGACGGCGCCGAGCAGGTCTCGACATGATGATGACGTCACTCCTAGACGCCACCGTCTAGACTCCAACCTGCCCGAGTCGAGCACCCTCGACTGCCAATGTCTCTGTCAGAGCTCCAGGAGACGACAGCGGCGTAGGCGACGATGCTGTCCGAACCAAGAACAAAGTCACCAGAGCCAGAACTCCACGACGTCTCTCGCTCAAGCTCAAGTGTCGACGAGGTTGGCGTCGTCCAGGCGGGAAGACTGGCTGATGGTGGGGGAGCAACTGAGAAGGATCGCGGAGGAGTTCAAGACGGCGTCTTTGAGGAAAGAAGAGGTGAGTTTGGAATACTACTTGAAGAACGTAGTTTCTAGACATTGAAAAATTACTGCTCTTGTCAATACCATAGGATTTTAACATTTTCATGCCCTGATATTTTTTTGGGACAATTATAATTATAAAGCAGTTTAATTTTTATAGGAGTAATTTTTATACAAAACCAAGTTGTGCTGTGCGCTTTCATCCTAATGGACAGTATAAATCTTCATCAGTGTAAATATGGTAGTTTGTACGTTGTATTCCCGATTCGACCCGTCTACAGGAATATGCATATTTTACCCATGTAATTTTTCTACAACAACGCATAACAGTGATCTTAGCCTTGCATAATCATTTACCAACACAATACAAATCGCCTATCACGATCTATTTGAAATTCGTTCCGTTGCAAACCTATAGGAATACAATAGAGCAATCCCACCCTAAACGGCTTCAAAACTAATTTCCGCAAAAAATCGAGAACCGACTTGCGAGAGGGTGGATGTATTTACTGCGAAACGAGCATTAGTTAGTGCAATCGGTGACACGAGACGTTTTAGTTGGCGGGTCAACACATATGTCGGGGTGGTTTGCACCCTGGGCAATCACATTAAAAGCTACCCAATCAGGCCAAGGGCTCCCAATTTGTTCCGGCACCGTGGGCCTTTCACAACGGCTCTCGTTTTAATCGTAACTGTCACGTTTGACAGTCCCTCCATTCTTTTGTCTTTCTTTTCTTATCCCTTCACCCGCACCCTCGCCCAATTTGGCCCCTTTATTTTACCTTTTTGTTCCGTTTAGCCGCTGGTGTCATCATTGTCTTTTGTCGAATCCAATCTGGAAGTGCTGAATCGAGCGCATTCTTGGGGGAGCCAATTGCGGGGATGGAATAGGATACGGGTATTTAAGGAAGTTGTCAAGTTGTCACAACATATGCGTGTTTTACCCTATCTGCCACGAGTGTCTTCTCTAATTGACTCTGGGTCACTCGAGATCGACCTCGTGGTAATTCGCGAGAGCTTATCTTTCTATTTGGTTAGCTCCACTTGCTTTCTTGCTCGGCTCATTGCCTTCAATTGGTCTAAGAGCTAAGGACAATGGCTACAACTACGCCTCGCCAGATGGCAAGTCGGTTTTTACAACCTCTGGTTTCATCTCGTAAAACGGACAATTACATACTAAATGTTCAATCCGCCTTTTTGCCTACGAGTCCATTCAGTATCCACGAGCTAGGAAAGAAAACAACTTTGTTTTTCTGTTTGTTGATTGTTTGCTGCGTTTTTGCTTTTTCCACTTTTATAACTTCTTTAACTGTTTAGAAGAAACCACTTGTTGGGGTTTTTTACCACAGGTTTTGCGTAGAGTCTCAATTTAGAAACGAGTAGTAATTCTTTTAAGACAATCCGTGTGTTTGTTCAGTTTATCATATTTTATATGAACACAACTTTTTCAAAATGTGTTGTATGGAAGTAGATTTGTACCGAAACTAAGAAGCAAGTTCTATAGTTTAGAATGATACATGATTTCGTAACCGGAGTTTTACAACACTCTAATCCTAATGCATACGCCCTTAAAGAAGAAATATCCTTTATCATCTCATTAGGCTGTAGTTATACAAGTAATCTATACATGAAGTGTTTTTTAAAGAGATGGTTTTTAAAATTGATGGTTACATTTGTTATCAGGTGTTTCCGAAATGAAAACATTGACAGGCTTTTTCCCTAAAACCGTTTCTTTCTCTGAGTATATCCAGAATGAAAATTTTTCGCAACATTTATATAACTCAAATAACTGACAATTCCGAAAACTGACAGTTCTTTTCTCTAATTATTTCCAAAATGATATTAGTCCTATTGACAGTTCCTTTCTTTTTTGTGTTTCTGTCTGATCCCTCTGACAGTTTCTGTATCTGTTTCAGTATCCCAAGCAGGAGAGGCAGGATCTACAGCTGGAAGTGAAGACTTCAGGGTTGTTCTCGCTCCTGGTTCCTTCCCACTTCCGTCACTCCCTGCTGACCACGGTGATCCTACTGGTCGGATGGAGGATGCTGGTGCGGGCGCGATAACTCCTCAACCAACCAACCAAGCTCCAAGTTCCAAACAGTAGTTCACTAGAACACTTAGTCGTTGAGACAATCTCGTCTGTCCTAGTATGTAATAATTGTTCCAAAGATGGCCAAACCATTAAATCAAACTCTGATCTCACAGACTAGGGGTAGTAATGTAAAGTTTTGTTCATATGTATAGTTGTAATTAGTTTCTTTCTTTCTTTATTTTTGTTTTGTAGAGGCCCAAGGGTTACTCTGATAGTTTTCACATGATCTCTGGAAGTAGAGTGGACACGGCCTAAAGGCTGATAGTCCACTGGGCTGTACATAGCATTGAGTGTTTACATCGAGATGGTTATGTAATTGTAATTATATAAATATTGTTAGCTTAAAAAGCTGCCCAATGTGGATTCTTGTCTTTCAAAAGGTTCAGTTCGAACCTGTAGTTTAATCTAGGTTAGTTTACGCTAAGATGCAATATGAAAGTTGATAATTTTGTAAGAATATTTTATCGTGTTCATATATCATCGTTTGCGATGTGTTTCGATAGTTTTGTATTCCATTGTCCAATTGTAGTTTCAAAAGCACCAGTGTACGTGTCTTACAGTTCAATTCCCGTCGTCTTTCAATATACACGTTGTTGCCATTTTTAAATGTTACAATTTATAAAGACATGACATATTTTAGCGATTTTTATATACAAAAAATGATTTTTTGGTGTTGATTTCTAACAGATTTTGTTACGATTATTTTTGTAAAGGGTCCAAGGCAAGCGTACTGGTTATGACCATTGATTGTATATGTATAGCAGTGTATATAGCGCTTGTTGTGTATATTGAGCTGTATTGTGGTTCGGTCGTCCCGCCAATGGGACGACTCCGTCAAAGCGTTACTGTGATGTTATCTGGTGACATAAGTATGATCTCAACCTACCCCTAGTCAGTAGTGTTCGTAGACTAGAGGATAGGATTTTAAGCGTGTTCATGTATTTTTATATCGTTTGCACAATCATATTTGAAGGCCTATAAGAATTGTGATGAGAATTCGGCTCAGAAAATTTGAATTTTGTACATTTATTTTGTAATTTATTTGCTACACAATATATGTAATCATTTTGAGGTTATGTTTTGTTCTGGAAGATTTTTGATTGTACAAAATGGTGGCCTTGGTTTTGTGAAACATAACCTCAACATTTTGATCATTTGACAGTTGTCGCTTGTTTTTCTACTATAGATATCATCAGTTAAGCCCCAAGTGCTTGCTATCTTTGCTACCACAGGTCTTTCAATTTTGTACAGTTTTTCACTTTTGTATGTAGTAAAAGTTATTATTATTACAACGATTATGAATGATGACATTTTGCATTATTTCAATATGTGTAAAAATAAATGCTGATTTATTTCATAACTGTCTATTTATGTGTTTACCTATGTAGTCTTAAGAGGTGAATCTAGTCAAACTAAGTAAAATGTACATTCCCATTAAAAATATATAAAATATGCAATAAAAAGCGTAATGCTTTCACTGACTACATCTAGTCAAAGAGTTATATTTAACTTAACTATTGAATCTAATATGTTAAACATATGAGAATTTGGAATTTTATCCAGTCCAGAAATCCGTTCCGTGAAGGTTATAAATGTATTATCAACATAATTTTTTATGTAATATTAGTATTGGTATGATACCCAAAGAAAGTTCAGTAAGATTGAGATCAATTCCGTCCATCATAAGGACATCCAGCCTGGTAGAAAACATATCTCTGTAGTATGTTGGGAAGTAAGTGCTCTAGATTAAATTATTAGCCATAGGCTACATGTGCTTTCTCTTCATACAGCTTGGGTAGTGTTTTCTAGGTAGCCAAATAGAAATAGTGCTCGCCTTCAATTCTATAGATTGTTGATTTGATCCCAAATAAGAAAGAATATCAACCTATGTTCCATTTATGGAATACTAATTACAAAGCCAGAGACTTGACATCTCCCTAAAAAAAATTCAATACAAATGGCATAGAAACACAACAACAAAAATAATAGACAACCCATTCTAGGAATCTGATTTGACCATGCCTTTAACATCTCATTACCTAATACATCTTAAATATAGAAACATGGGTCAGTAATCAGTTTAGGCGATTGGAAATCAGTAACCTAATTCCAGACGCCACAGGTCTGGTATCCAGTAAAGCTAATCGTCAGGGCCTTTCCAGATTATATCAAATAGCGAAACAGGGGCAGCCACAATAGAATGTAAATATTGGTATCTCCATTAGAAAATTGACCATTTTAATAACTAACAATAAATATCACAATTATAACCATTAAAAACAGAAAATGAAGATTCATAGGGATTAACATGATTAAACACACATCCTAAGGATTTATAATACTTTTGAATGATTGAAGGCAATTTTAAGGCGTTTACACATTAGGCAACGTGTTTTTGAGTTCATGTTCTATTTTCGCCTGTCACAATAGACCAATGTGTAACTAATGTGACTTATCATCTACATGATGATATAAAGACAGTGATATAGTACCTTTATTGTAGGTATATGGGCAAGCCAATGGCGACTCCAGTTATAAAATAGTAGAGTAGACTGGTTTCGAACCAGCATCCTTTGGTCCAAGACGCTAACATTAAGAGAACATATTCGAACAAGCTGTAAAGTATTGATCAATTGCATCAATACTGTAAACTATCTTACAATAACGTTACAAAAGCTACGTTACTACGTGTTATCTCATTGTCAACCAAAGACAAAGCGTGTGACCTAAATGAACAGTTTTACCTCGTGTACAATGTACGAGGCTATTAACCAAACGATTATGTAAATGAAAACTGTAAATGATCCTAGTCCCACCGGCGCCTCTCCTTTTGACGAATATTCCAATTTAAATTCGCAATTTTGGGAATTGAGTTGTCATGCATATGCTAATAAATTGCCAAACTAATATGGTGATGTTTTTAATATTTCCTGTGAGATGGCCTCAAGTTAGGGTTTTTGAGGACTGAGAGAACTCTTGGCTCAAGTCTGAATTGAAATTAAAAAAAAATTCAGCCTTGTATTATTACAGATTTTACATGTTCATCATAATGTTAGCCAACAGCATTCATTTATTTAGCTGCTAGTTTAAATTAGATAGCTTAGTTAAGTTCGCCGTTTTTTGTAAGAAGCCGGTTCTTCTGTTTTGGTGACGTGGGTTTGAATCCAGTAAATGCGTAAGGACTTTGGTATGACAACGACGTAGTTTGAAGCAGTAGATCCACACTTCGTGACAAAAAATATATGCCTCGTGGACAAGAAAAACTGTAGGTCAAAAATGTCATTCTAAAATAAACCATAAATAATTTATTTCTTAACTTAATTGTAATAATAGTAAAGATTTTTTTATTTTACCTACCAGTGCTTTGCCAATCAATAAAAAATTGTTTACCATACTCTAAAATGCATAAACAGAATATGCATAAGAACCGTAGCTGTTCTTGAGATATCTTTTAGGCGTCTCTACTTTATATGAGCTGACTTTTAACCTTACTTAATGACCTAATAACTATGCTGTTTTTTCTAGCTATTTAGTAAAAAGTGTTCATATTACTAGCTTATAGCATGATGCATCCAGCTACTTTATAATTATGAATATTATCTTATGAAGTTGTAGTCTACCTAATAACGGTGTACAAGTGTACAAATACTTTTAAGAAAATGTCGAAATAAAAATATGTCATACAAACTACTACCGTGTATAATAATAACAAAATCGTTAATACTTAATGATATTGCAAACTATTATTTTGAATGTACTCCTACATTATAGAAATTAGATTTTAAAATAGTATTTGCAGTATGTGCAACTATGATGAAATCTGACATAAGTAACTTCTAACAGTTTTAAAATTCCTTTATCTTTACACAATAATTAAAGTAATTTGACAAAATACTATGTGCGCGTAATTTAGTTAACTATGCCTGTCAACCGCCTCACGCTACCCGGCAAGCAGGGCTGTATAGTGGGAAGCTGTACACGTTTTGCAGGGAAACAAAACTCCTCTATTTCTTCTTGTTTAAAAGACATTATCTATTCTCTTAATGTATCACGAATATGCCATGGAATAATAACAACAAAATCTAATGCAAAATATAAAAAAAAAACATGTTTAGGAATAATGATTTTGTTTAAGTTGATAAAAGTGTTAACTGTAATATTATTGGTTTAATACAATAGATGTAACGACGTAACTTTAAATGCTGGGAGCAAGTTGGTCTAGTTGTAGTGGTAAAGTGCGGGACTTTACCTGAGAAACCGGGTTTAAATCTTGCCGATTGCCAATGTACATCTAACTAATAATGACGTCCTAGGCCAAGCCTGAATTATACATAAACAATCACGGGCTAGATTATAGCATCCTAGGAAAAAAATATTTACTTATTTACTTATTACTTATTGTAAATAAGAAATCCCATAACAACCAGAGTTGTGATGTCATATAACAGATTCATTCTAGTTTTTTTGCTTGAACAAAATTATCTCGACCAACAGTTTTCATTTTGTGTTCAATAACTTTTTGAAAAGCTTTCCAAGATGGTGATACTTTACAGATATAATAAAAGACACGTCTTAGGCCTACATTCGTTTGTGGAAAAAAACACGGAGTAAAAACTTATTTAGATTCACTTGGTATTCTACGCTTCAATTTTACCACAATTCTACAAAATAATTCTACGTAAAATACATTAAAACATGGACCCACAATTAAACTTTTCATTGTCCCACCCAAATACAAACAAACAAAAACAACGTACATTTTCACTAAACAACCGCGTATAACATACCAACAGTCCCTTTAACGCTATCCATAATAAAAAGTCGTCAACAATTAATCACATTTCACTCACCACAGTAATCTAAGACCGTCGATTTCTCACGCCGCTTACCCTGTCATCCCCATGTACACCCGCGTCACCAGATGATCCACCCAGGGTCCCAGGGGAGGTCGGCCACCGGCGCAGTGATGGATGGGAAGGGTTAGGGAACGACGTCAATATGGAAATGCCTCTGGTGATTAATGTGCTGGTAATTATCGAGTCACCGAATTATCGAATACTCGTATCGTATCGCTATTGTTTCGAGGGAAGTCTTCAATACAGAGACATTTTCCCACCTGAGAGATATTTTTTTCTGGATTGGTGGAGTTACAGGGTGGGTTTGGAACCACCAAGTAAAGGTTTGTATAGCTGAAATCTAATGTTGAATGAGATCATTTGAATCTATAAGTCTTTAAGGGAGAAGTCTTGCGATCTACAGTATACACTACACGAGCAACACCCATAGGCAATGGATACAGACCCCTATTTATACAGGGTGTTCAAAAAAGGTTGGGGCATATTTTACCTAGTGATTTCTTTGGCGAAATTAAAGAGAAAATTACGTATATTTTTTCCCCCAAAATCACTTCGTTAACCAGATATCCGCTATTTTGCATTTTTTACATAAACATTTTTATCTTTGGACTTTTTCAACCAATCCTTATAAAGCTTGGATCATATTTTATTATTTGATAAATATGCTAAACAGTAACTTGGCTTATGTATGATAAGGTAGAAGAGACCCATGTAAAAAAAAATCATCTTGATTCAACTTAAAATTTCACAATGGCGGCCATTTTGATTGTTAAACTTAAATTACTCAAAAACGGCTGAGTTTATTAAAAAACGTCTAGAAAACTTTTATTTAGCATTTTTAATTCCCTATCAGACGATACCAAGTTCAAAAAGATAGAATAAGAAATAGCTGAAATATTACGATTTTTAGTTGAGACCTGACCCCTTAGCTTCTGCCTTATTCTACGCCATTTTACAACAAAAAATCGTAATACGTAAAAATCTTAATAATAGTGTGTATATGTATTATAGCTAATTAATAACACCACAGGATGATAACAGCATTTTTCTATTACGATTGGTAAAAAGGTGTTAACGACACAGTGGGACCTGAAATCTGCTCGTCCTCAGGGGTTAAAGTATCTTAAACATAAAAAGATTGGCAAGAACTCAGCCTAAGTAAAAATAGAATATTTTTTCATAACAAAAAATATAGTTTACCACATGGGGAGCGAGGGTTAAAAGGTCATATTGCATCATTAATTAATAAAAACAAAGCTAGAAAAGGGAATACATTTTTTAAAGATAACCTCTCAAAACGACTTTCAGCTTGTTTTAAATTCTGCTAATGCAAATAAGTTGTTGTTTCGTAAGCGATTAGATTATTTCGTCTATTAGGTCTACGATTGTGTTATTATACCATCGATATGTCGAGCGATCAACAAAAATAGGCCCTTATCAATAGGGACCTTACATAATAAATCAATCAATAAATAATTTCGATTGATACGATTGCCACAACCAA